TCTTTGTCCAGACTCCAATGCAAACAATCAAATCCAAGTTACTTAAAAAGCTGGGGGCCTCTGCAGCACTTTAAATCACCCACCAAGAAACAGGTCCTATCAGGGCCAGGTAGGGTTTGACTCTTACATCTGCACAATCGGAGCCCACGGATTAAAAGTCAAAGTCTCAACTCTACTGGCAGAGAAAAGACCAGACTTATAGTACCTTGGGGTTGTTATTACTACATTTAAAAAACCAAAAACCCGTTGCCAATTCCCACTCATAGCAACCCTAGAGGACAGAGTAGAACTGCCCCACAGGGTTTCCAAGGAGTTGCTGGTGGACTCAAACTGCTTTTTGGTGAGCAGACGAGATCTTAACCACAGCACCACCAGGGCTCCATTACTACATTTAGGCATCCCAAAACAGAGATTTAAAAAAATCTCAATGTCTCCCTCTTTGTGCCCTCTTCAGACACTTCATGAGAAAAACACCTGCTAAGACACAGATTTAAGAAAGGTTAAGAGGATCATCAACATCATTTAATGGAGCCACACAGAACTGCAGATCTGTGGCTGAAAAATCCCAATCCCTTCTGTCTGTGCCTCTGACAGAAACTGTTATTAGCTGCCCATTAGGCTCCATCTCATGGAAACCGTTTGTATAAGAGAGTGAAAATTTGGTCCTATGCCATGTTCGTGATCATTAGCACGTTTGATTCCTGTCTGGCAATATCCTGTTCTGATCCATAAGGATATCATTGGCTAATTTTCAGAAATAGATTGCCAGGCATTTCTTCCTAGTCTGTCTTAGTCTGGAACCCTAGGGGAAACCTGTCTACCTAGGTGACCCTTCTAGTATTTGAAATACCACTGGAATAGCTTCCAGTCATCATAGCAACATGTAAGCCACCACAGCGCAACAAAGGGAAAGATGGGTGGGGGCACAAAGAGGCTAAACTGAAAGAAAAACCAAACCCATTGTTGATTCTGACTCATAGCCACCCTAAAGGGCAGAGAATTGCTCCATAGGGTTTCCAAGGTTGTAAATTCTTCTCTTTTTTGTTGTAGTTTAAGTTTTCATTTCAAGTTAGTCTCCCATACAAAACTTTATACTTTATGTGAAAAATTTATTGTTATGTGACCCTAATTGCTCTCCCCATACCATGACAGCACACTCCTCCTTACCAAACCTGATTCCCCACGTCCATTCAGCCAGCTCCTAACCCTCTCTGCCTTCCCATCTCATCTCCAGATGGAAGCTGCCTATTTAGTCTCTTCTATCTACTTGAGCCAAGAGGCACATTCCTCGTCAGTTTACATCCCACAGTCCAGTCCAATCCTTGTCTGAAGAGTTGGCCTCGGAAACTCTTTTAGTTCTGGCCTGATAGAAATTCCAGGGGACATGCTTTCGAGTTCCATCTCAGTCAGACCAGTTAAGTCTAGTCTTCTTACTAGAATTTGAGCTATCTACCCCAACTTTCTCCTGCTCCATCAGGAACTCTCTGTTGTGTTCCCTGTCAGGGGTGTTATTGGTTGTAGCCAGGCACCATCTAGTTCTGGTCTCAGGTTGATTAAGTCTCTGGTTTATGTGGCCCTTTCTGTCTCTTGGAATACTACTTTCCTTGTGTCTCTGGTGTTCATTCTCCTTTACTCCAGGTGGTTGGGACCAATTCATGCATCTTAGATGGCAGCTTGCAAGCTTTTAAGACCCCAGATGCCACTCACCAAAGTAGGATGCAGAACATTTTCTTAATAAACTTTGTTATGCCAATTGACCTAGATGTCCCCTGAAAGCATGGTCCTCAGACCCCTACCACTGCTACTCTGTCCCTCAGTGTTCTGACTGTATTCAGGAAACGTCTTAGCTTTGGTTAGTCCAGTTGTGCTGACTTCCCCTGTAGTGTGTGCTGTCCTCCCCTTCACCTAATTCTCATCTACTACCTAGTTACTAAATAAACCTCACCCTCCCTCCTTACGCTACTACCTAGTTACTAAATAAACCTCACCCTCCCTCCTTACCCTCGTAACCATCAAAGAATGTTTTCCTGTTTAAACTTTGAGTTCTTATAATAGTGGTATTATACAATATTTGTCCTTCTGTGACTAAATTCACTCAGCACAATGACCTCCAGATTCCTCCATGTTATGTTTCACTGCTTCATGGTTGTTCTTTACAGTTGCGTAGTATTCCATTGTGCAGATATACCATAATTTATCCATTCATCCACTGATGGGCACCTAAGTTGTTTCCATCATTTTGTTATGAACAGTGCTGCAATGAACATGGGTGTGCATGTATCTACTCATGTGACGGCTCTTATTTCTCTAGGATATATTCCAAGGAGTGGGATAGCTGGATCGTATGGTACTTCTATTTCTAGCTTTTTAAGGAAGCACCAAATCGATTTCCAAAGTTGTACCATTTAACACTCCCAGCAACAGTGTATAAGTGTTCCAGTCTCTCCACAACTTCCAGCATTTATTTTGTGTTTTTTGGATTAATGCTAGCCTTTTTGGGGTGAGATGGTATCTCACTGTAGTTTTTATTTGCATTTCTCTAATGGCTAATGATCATGAGCATTTCTTCATGTGTCTGTCAACCATCTGAATATCTTCTTTGGTAAAGCGCCTCTTCATATCCTTTGCCCATTTTTTAATTGGGTTGTCTTTTTGTTATTGAGGTTTTACAGTATCTTCCAGATTTTAGAGATTAGACACTGATCGGATTTATCATAGCCAAAATTATTTTCCCAGTGTGTAGGTTGTCTTTTTACTCTTTTGGTGAAGTCTTTTGATGAGCAGAAGTGTCTGATTTTTAGGAGCTCCCAATTATTTAGTTTCTTTTCTGGTGTTTGTGCATTGTTATTTATGGTTCGTATTGTGTTTATGCCACGTATTAGGGCTCCTAGCATTGTCCCTACTTTTTCTTCCATGACCTTTATCATTTTCTATTTCATATTTAAGTCTTTGATCCACTTTGAGTTAGTTTTTGTGCATGCTGTGAGATATGGGTCTTGTTTCAGTTTTTTGCAGATGGATATCAAGTTATTCAAGGCTGTAAATCTTCACGGAAGCAGACTGCAACATCATTCTCCCTCACAGCAGCTGATGAGTTCAAATAGTTGACCTTTTGATTAGCAGATGAGTGCTTTAACCACTGCACCACCAGGCTGCCTTCAGAGACTAGGCCCCATAAAATACTTGTCCATAAATAGAAGAGCCTTAAAGGGCTAGGAATTGTATCACCAATACTAAACATTTGAACCATATATTTAAAACGGAAAATTCTCCATCTACATGCAAAAAGAAAAACTAAAGACTTTAAGGGGTTTGGCTGTTTTCTTCATCACTTGATGAGCACTGCCTAACAGAGCAGTATTAGGTGAACTATCAGGATATTTACACACGGTTATTGGCCAAGGAAGGAGCCCCAGTGGCATGGTGGTTAAGAGCTCTGCTGCTAACTGGAAGGTCAGTGGTTAAAACCCACCTAATGCTACAGGAGAAAAGAGCTGGAGCTCTGTTCCTGTAAAGATTACAGCTAGGAAGCCCTATGGTGCAGTTCTACTATGTCTTATATGGTCACTGAGTTGAAACGGACTCGACAGCACACAACACTGACCAAGGACACTCTGAGACAGAAGTAAAGCACTCGCCAGCCCTCCTGAGCTCTACTGCACACGTGCACAGCCTTAGCCAACGTCTATGCCTTGGCCTCCTCTGTACTATGAACTTAGATTCACGTCCAGTATATACTATTAAGTGGAAAAAGTACATTTATGTGAAGAAAACATGGTAAATAACCAACACACATTCATGTACGTATGTATGTATTCTGGGGAAGGGATATTTCTGAGAAACACTGAAAGGTTACACAGAAAACAAAATGGAAATGGTTAGCAACTGGTGGTGATATTAACAGAACACAGGTACTATAGGAGAACTCAGCATTCTGAATATATGTTTTCATATAGTCTTCAGTTTTGAAGCATGCCTTTTATATGTTAAAGAATTCAAAATGAAAGCAAACCTTAAAATCAAATGTAAGCAGAAATAAACATGGTAAGATATTAAACTGCCACTGCTAATCTGCGAGTTTGACATACTGTGGTGGCTGGCATGTTGCTAATGCAGGAAGATATACCACCAGTATTTCAAATACCAGCAGGGTCACCCATGGTGGACAGGCATTAGTGGAGCTTACCTACTTCAAAAGCCTAGGAAGAAAGACCTGGTAATCTACTTTAAGAAAATCAGTCAATGAAAACCTTATGGATCACAACAGAACACTGATATAGTGCTGAAAGATCAGCCCCCCCGGGTTGGAAGGCACTACTCAAACATACCAATGATCATTAAGATAGTGCAGAACTGGGCAACATTTTGTTGTTATGCAGGAAATCAAAGAGCCCCGGAGGCACAACAGTTTAGCACCTGGCTACTAATCAAACAGCTGACAGTTCAAACCCACCCAGCAGCTCCATGGGAGAAAGCCTGGCAATCTGCTTCTATAAAGATTATAGCCAAGAATACCCTATGGGGCAACCGTACTCTGTCAAACGGAGTTTGTAAGAACTGGAATCAACTCCACGGTGCTTAACATAAATAAGGTTACCAGGAGCTGGAGGCAACTCGATGGCAGCAAAGACTATCAAACTGATCACATAATCATGCACAAGAGAGTTTGTGCTCAAGTCAATGTTTAAGCATGGTAATCTTGTGTTAATATCCTTAATGTAAACGTACAACCAACCAGTCAGTACAAAAACAAAGGCGAAAAACTCAGTACTTCGCAAAATAAATTATTTGTTTAGTTCTATTAGTATTATGACATTGAAACTATTTCAATATTATTAGGAACCAAACATTTTATTAAGATGCAAATATAAAATAACAGAAATTGACAAGATTTACCCATTTACATTTATCCCATGAATGTTCCTTGCTTCAGCCTAATCAGCCGTGAGCAAACATTTCTGAAAAACGTTAGAATTTTTGTTTAAAATCCATCTCCCTGCTGTATTTTTGCTTGCCACCTTGAAATTAATAAGCTTCCAGTGCCTCATGATACCCAGAAATCATAAAAAACTTCCTGCCATACCTTACCCTTTGGAGTTGAACTCAGACTTATGCTGAAGTGTCTTTCCTATCACAACAGGCTGAATAAAGTCTAGTTTGCCTATTTAACATTCTCTAGCACCATTTCTTGTATATTTATAAATATCTGTATACATACACGTGTGTGTATATGTATATATATATATACATATATATATATACACAGCCTTAAATTTGTATTAGGAATAAGAACATGAATTTATGATGTAAGAAATTATGTATTTTACATGGTAACTAAAAGGCCAAGACAAAAATCAGTCGCTGTTAACATGTTTTATCACCGAGCACATGTATTGCACACACCTTGGTTTTTAAAAGGAACCAGAGGCTTGGGGAGAAAGGGTTGATTCCAGATCTGGAACAGGAAAGTACAAAGCGATCCAGGGACTTCTTTTGCATTCAAACACTAATAAGGCTGTCAATAATCTATGAGGTTTGTGAAACTAAGAAACTGTATACACTTTCATATTAATTTATATATAATAAACTACATTCAATTATTGGAAAAGTATGCTGGGAGTAACCTGGAATTGTGAACCTACTTTTCAAAAATAAAATTTATGAAACGTGCTGCTTCTGGATTCTGGAAAATGTGGTAAAAAAAGGAAATGTAAAATCTCTCAAAGAAATTTATACTGATTAGTTAATATCATTTATAATTTTTACCTTGACAATAAATGGACGTATACACGTAAGATTCTTATTAAACATTTCATTTACATTTTTACACATCTAATACACCTATTAAAATATTTTAGATTACGTCTTTGATGTGCATTATATTTCTATTAGAACTATGCAAGACTCAACGTCTGTTACAAAAACTTCAGAAGACTGAACAAAATCATAATGAAACAAATACCATAAAACCTATGAGAGCTGGAAAGTGATCGGAGTGCCTCATTTTACCAGGTCTTGCATTTTTCCACCTCTGACTGGGTGCTTAGCACTTTTCTTTTGCTATTAAGAATCCTACATCATAAACACCCCATTTTCTTCTCTGACAGGTTTCTGATTTACACAGGTTTCAGCTGTCACAAGTTTTGACTGTATCACAATGCTAAACATTTTAACATTTTTCAGAAAAGTAGAAGACTGTTCTGTGTAAGACAGATTAATCACATATAGAAATAAAAAGGCAATGTGGAAATGTGGTTTGGATCCTAACTTCAAAAAACTCAACAACCATAATAGATAATTTATGCACAACTGGAGAAATATTCATTTGTTGTGAGACAATGAAGATCTGGGTTGTTCTGGTAGGAAACTGACCTTATTTGTAGGAGCTTAAAGGGTGAAGTGAATGTCTGCAATTAAGCATTGGTTGTTTCATCATAATTCACATACATGAATAAACTCCTTACATTTATAAAACCTAACCCATTAATTTTTATATGATTATTGGGGTTTGAGGAATCACAACAGAATCTCCCACATTCTGTATATTCAAAATGTTTCTCTCTGGAGTGACATCTTATGTATTCATTGTTGGAAGACAAATAACTAAATGCTTTCCCACATTCTTTATATTTATAAAGCCTTTCCTACTGTGAGTTTATTTATGTTCAGTAGGCACTAAAGGCTTTCCATATTCCTTACTGAAGGCCTCTCTCCAATGTGAATTCTTATATGTCTAGTCAGGTGTGAGGACTGACGAAAGGCTTTGCTGCATTCCTTACATTCATAAGGCCTCTCACCACTGTGAGTTTTCATATGTTTAGTGTGGTCTGAAGAGTAACAAAAGATTTTGCCACATTCCATACATTTATAAAGTCTCCACAGTGAGTTCTCATATATGTACTGAGGTTTGAGGAGTTACTAAAGGCTTTGCCACACTACTTACATTCATAAGGCCTCTCACCACCATTAGTTCTTATATGTGTAGTAAGGTGTGAGAATCAACTAAAAGCTTTGCCACATTCCATACATTCATAAGGCCTCTCACCACTGTGAGTTCTCATATGAATAGTGTGGTCTGAAGAGTAACAAAAGGTTTTGCCACATTCCATACATTTATATGAAAGGTCCTTCTCCACAGTGAGTTCTCATATGTGCACTGAGGTATGAGGACCGACTAAAGGCTTTACCACATTTCTTACATTCATAAGGCCTCTCACCACTGTGAGTTCTCACATGTGAAGTGAGGTATGAGGACCGACTAAAGGCTTTGCCACATTCCTTACATTCATAAGGTCTCTCACCACTGTGAGTTCTTATATGTGTAGTAAGGTTTGAGGACCAACTAAAAGCTTTGCCACATTCCTTACATTCATAAGGTTTCTCACCACTGTGAGTTCTTACATGTGAAGTGAGGTATGAAGACCGACTAAAGGCTTTGCCACATTCCTTACATTCATAAGGCCTCTCATCACTGTGAGTTGTCATATGAATAGTGTGCTTTGAAGAGTAACAAAAGGTTTTGCCACATTCCATACATTTATAAGGTCCTTCTCCACAGTGAGTTCTCATATGTGCACTGAGGTATGAGGACCGACTAAAGGCTTTGCCACATTCCTTACATTCATAAGGCCTCTCACCGTGAGTTCTTACATGTGAAGTGAGGTATGAGGACTCACTAAAGGCTTTGCCACATTCCTTACATTCATAAGGCCTCTTACCACTGTGAGTTCTTACGTGTCTAGTAAGGTGTGAGGACTCACTAAAGGCTTTGCCACATTCCTTACATTCATAAGGCCTCTCACCACTGTGAGTTCTTAGGTGTCTAGTAAGGTATGAGAACCGACTAAAGGCTTTGCCACATTCCTTACATTCATAAGGCCTTTCATCACTGTGACATCTTATATGTGAAGTGAGGTATGAAGACTGACTAAAGTCTTTGCCACATTCCTTACATTCATAAGGTCTCTCACCACTGTGAGTTCTTACATGTGAAGTGAGGTGTGAAGACCGACTAAAGGCTTTGCCACATTCCTTACATTCATAAGGTCTCTCACCACTGTGAGTTCTCATATGAATAGTGTGCTCTGAAGAGTAACAAAAGGTTTTGCCACATTCCATACATTTATAAGGTCTTTCTCTACAGTGAGTTCTCATATGTGCACTGAGGTATGAAGACCGACTAAAGGCTTTGCCGCATTCCTTACAATCGTAAGGCCTCTCACCACTGTGAGTTCTTACATGTGAAGTGAGGCCTGAGCAGTGACGAAAGGCTTTGCCACATTCCTTACATTCGTAAAGCCTCTCTGCAATGTGAATTCTCATATGTGCAGTGAGGTTTGACAAATGACAAAAGGCTTTCCTACATTCCTTACATACATAAGGCTTGTCTCCACTATGAGTTCTTATATGTGCAGTGAGGTTTGAGGACTGAGAGGCCTTCCCACATTCCTTACATACATAAAGCTTCTCTCCACTGTAAATTGTCTTATGTATAGTGAGGTTTGAAGGACAAAAACTTTTGCCGCATTCCTTACATTCATAGGATTTCTCTCCAGTAACAGTTCCCACAGCAGTGCTGATGTAAGAGGGACTACAGGCTTGTCTGCATTCCTTATACTGATAGGCAGTGCATCCAGAGAGAGATTTCATATGATGCTTAAGTGGTGAATGACTCATCAAGGATTTTCCACACTCGAGGCATTCCACAGGATATGCTTCCACAGGAGTTCTTCTTAGCACAGAAAGATTTGGAATCTGGCTGAAGATCTGATTGTTTTCATTACTTTCACCGAGGTTCTCTAACAAATGCCTTTCATTAAAAATAGGCAGCATGCTGTTGGATACAAATTTGTTACCACTTCATTATCATACACATTAAACATGTACTTTCCTCTGAACTGTCTTACATTTCATAGATTAAATCATCTAGCAGATATACTACCATTTTTACTTTTTCTAAAATACAGTGCTAACAACTGTATTTAAGTGAAATATTTCAAATATTAAATATCTGACTCACATTTATGAAAATATTGTCCTGTGAAAATTCTGTGAACACACAATATTAGAGCTGGTTTTATATACACATATAACTGAATAGCAAAAGTTTGTACTGCCATATATATGTTTCACTGTGTATCTATCTATCTATCTATAATTGTAATTGCTAAGTGCTGTTGATTCCAGCTTAGCAACCCCATGTGACCAAAAGGCTGGTGGTTCAAACCCACCCAGAGGCACTGCCAAGAGCCGGAATAGACAAGACACCAACAGGTTTGAGATGCATGCACAAACGCACAGACATTACTCATCAACTATCTCATTATCTGACATTTCACATTGGCAACAACACAAAAACATCTATCTGATTATTTTGCACATTAGTGAGGAAGGTCTCAGAGTGGCCTCAGAGAACCTGGGCAGCACTACCCCACACCCTCCTGTCCCTCCTGCTGACAGGGTTGCCACATCTAGCTCCTGGGTGGGGCCGGGCTCCACTGTGGCCACAGCCTCTAGGTGGACGCACAGGCAGTGCTCAGCCAGCAGGCACCTCTTCTGCGTTCTTATCTTGTATGCGACCTGCGGCCCTGCAACTCAAAATTGCTGTGGGGTGGAAAGGTAGGAAAGAAAGTGCAACAGAGAGAGTGTTTGGAAGAAAAGCTTGCAAATTTAAGTATACCCCAAAGTGAGGTGAACTGCACCTGAAGCCTCCACCTCGGTGGGGCTGGTTGCGTAGCCAGGCTCATAGCTCCCTCACAAAAGCTCCAAGCCTTGGTCACTCGCTAGGCCTGGAGAGCAGAGTAGGCTCTGGGATCTGGAAGGCAGGGCCTGTAGGCGTGGGACTGGAGCCCTGGAGGTGGTTCCACAAAGGGAGCTCTAACCCAGCACAGGAGGAAGGAGAAGTGGTTAAGCCGTGGGCCCTCCAGTCACACAGCCTGGCTTTATCCAGCTTTGTCTCCATCAAGCCTGCTTCCTCAGAGGAATAATAAATTACTCATCACAGTAATGAGTACATCACTAAATCTTAACTGTTATTATGTGTACAATATTCCCTAAATAAAAAAAATCTGGACAAATGGATAGTCTGAAAACAGAAACAAAAAATCGTTCTTTTCACATAAACCCTATTTTCACAAAACTATCTGGCCTTTTCAACCTAACTGTGTGGAAAAGTGAGGAGTGGGTGTGTGTGTGTGTATACGTACATGCACGCATGCATGCATACATACATATATAGATACGTGCATAAAGACCCAGGAACCCTGCTCATGCAGTAGTTTAAGCACTTGGCTACTAATCGAAAGGTTGGCAGTTTGAACCCACCAGTGGCTACGCGGAAGAAAGATGCAGCAGTCCGCTTCCTTAAAGATTACAACCTTGGAAACTCTACACGGCAGTTCTACAGCATCCTACAGAGTCATTTTGAGTCAGAGTAGACTCAACAGCAATGGGATTTTATACATCTATATGTGTGTGTTTACATGCATATGTGTGGGTGTGTATATTTGTTTTGGTAAGTGCTGTTAATTCCAGTTCACAGTGACCCCATATGACAGAGAACTGCCTGATAGGGTTTTCTTGGCTGAAAATATTACGGAAGCAGATTGCCAGGTGTTTCTCCCACAGAGCCTGTGGATAGGTTCGAATTGCCAATCTTTTGGTTAGAGATCGAGTGCTTAACCATTTGTCCCACATGGGCTCCTTAGGTATCTAAGTATTTCAATATCACTATAACTTAAGGACTCTCCTGAAGCACTGCTGTCTTTTGCATAAATGACACTCACCTCACATGTGTTTTCTGGTTGTTATCCTGATCTTCAGTACCATGCAACTGGCAGACTTCTCCTACCATCGAGGACCAGGTGTCATTTTTCATGAATCGTACTATCATATGTTCAGTGGATAGCTTTTCTCCATCAATAAGTTTTCGAGAAGCTAACCAAATGATTTAAGGTGACGTTCACAACATGAAACAAAAAGGAGAGAAAATACTCAGGGGCAAAAACGTAGCTATAAGCAAAGCTTCTGACACATTTTGATGTTTAGTAACGTTGAGAAAGCAATTTACTAGGAAATACTTTCATGAAGATTGAGTGATGGTGACATAAATAGGGCGTAATTAGAAGAGCAAAGTAGAAAGATATTGGACACAACGCACACGAAACATCAAAAGAGGAAAAGGGGACAGTCTTTCTCCATGAACCAGGTGTGTTAGGATTGATGAAAGTCAGGAAAGCAAGCTCAGATATCTGTGAGGAACATACTCCTCAACCCAAAAGAGACTTTTTCTAATTGATGTTTTCAAATCTCATTCCCTCCATACAGGCCCAGTCCTTCAAACGATTCTTGTCTCCTAATATCTCCAACTCAGTGGTCCTGGACAAGTGCCATCTGCACTCTCCTCAAGTCTTCCTCTTGCTACGCTGGGAGAACAAATGGGTGTAGCTGACATGGTGATCATGGAGAAAGGCATACACTTAGGGAAGACAAGGAGGGGCAATGAACACTTCCCTGACACAGAGCCAATACTTTGGTCCTCAGGGTCTCTGGTGATTGGCAGGTGTGAATTCATTTGCAGCAAAATAATCATGTCAAACTGTAATAAAGTAACACTCTTTGCATGATCCCAGACCACAAATATTCTCTCTGTGCACCAAAGAAACCCCTGAAGTCAACACTCATTTACAACATTTAAAGAGCCTTAAGGCTTTTAACCACAATCGAAATGAGAAGTCAGTTTAATACACAGAGCTCTGTATTCATGGGAAAACAAAATATGCATGTTCCAGAGAGCAACTGACCATATTTGTCTTATTTAAAAATGTTTTACCATTCGTCGTCCCACATAGTGGAGTAACATCGATGGGAATGACATATTTGGTCACAAAAAAATTTTTAAAAATTTAAAAATGAAGTAACAGTTATGGCTGCAAACCAAAAGCTAGGGAGTCCAAATCCACCAGGCACTCCCTGGAGACCCTATGGGGAAGTTCTACTCTGTCCTATAAGTTGCTATGAGTTGGAATTGACTTGACGGCAATGGATTTGGGGTTTTTTAATCCATACCTACTGAGGCGAGGCTTCTGAAGATTTCCATCATCACATCTCTGTAGAGCTGCCTCTGAGGAAGATCCAGCAATGCCCACTCTTCCTGAGTAAAGTGCACAGCCACATCCTCAACAGCTACTGAGTCCTAAAAATTACCACATATTCTGTTTCAGCAAGGTATCACATACTCCAACGTGTGTGAAAGGAAGGGTGAGGCTGACAGTCCTTGAGAACTGAGATTCCATGGAGATTTGACACAAGTTTTGTGTTCTACTAAGGTCTACTCTAGGGGTTAGCCAACAGCCTCATCCCTTCACTGTCTACATTCAATTCCTCACACACTGCATCTTGACTCACAGACTTAACAATACTTCCAACAAAATGAACTTCTCTCCCCAGTGTGTGGACAATTGTAGTCTCACTCCTCTCTACGTTTATAGTCTAGAACAATCAGAACACATAGCAGCAACTGGAGAAATGCTCTACAGTGAAAACCCTATTTCCACACTTGGGTCGTCTTTTCCTTGTGGAAAAAAAAGTTCACCTCCTTCAACAGGACCCGGCAGAATATTTAACAAAACTTGAAACACAGGGTGAAAGCAGGATGAAATGTTAACAACTGGGAAACACCACAGGACTGGCAGTTTTGCCTTTTGCCCCTCACAAGCCATGGGAGGCCCAGAGGCCTGCACAAAGAGGCAACCCAACCCAAGGCCCTCGGCTTGTCGTATTTTCTTAAAGAACTCCAGATGATCAGGGTCTGACAAGACTACCTGCTGAAAAGAAAACATTATTTAGAGGAATTGCAAATTTTTACACATCTCTCACCTACTTATCAATAACTCTACAGGTGCACTGTCATATACTCTACCTTCATGGAGATAGGCAAGGGTATTGCAAAGGTAAATGGAGATCAACTGAAAGACAGGAAACAAGAAAATCTAGATATCATCACAGTTTTCAAAGTGTGAGACCCAAAACTACTGTACAGCAATTATGAGTGACTCTCCCTTCAGTAAACACACACCCAGACACCCACACACACGCTAATGTTATAAGATGACAAAGACCCCAAATCTTTGATCAGAATAGCATGCCCTTGTGTTTGCTGACCATGAACAAGAGGTTAACATCCACATTTTCTAGCAAGTTCACTGACGTGCACAGGATTTAGCTGTTACGCTACTTGTGCATCCTAGGAAAGAGACTTACACATCAACTCTGTGGATGCTCCACATCAAAATTTTCTCACATTTGCAGCCCTTGGAAGGCACACGAGCATGACCACCTGAACCCTGACCACTGGCATTATCTGGGCTGTAGGACTGGCCTCTGTGAAATAGTATCAACCCTTTAGCTCCCCACATATAGTGAGAACACAGAAGGCAGCTACGCGGCACTTCTGATGTTCCAATTTTACTGAAGAGCTGAGCGGCTGTAGAACAGACAGGCTACAGGGTGAAGTGAGCTGTCAAGGTCAGTCCTAATCAATCCTGGTATGATAGTGTCACAGAAATCTTTGATCCAGTGCCAGATAGAAAAGTCTTCTCCACCGCAGTGCAGCAGGTTACATATTTTAAAGTCATCAAAAACCCTAACTTCCATTCCTACAACATATTCATGATAAAATGTTGCATTTATAGAGCAACTACAATATTTGAAAAAATTTGCAAAAAGCCTTCAGCACACTAGTTCATTATTCCGCATGCCAATCCTGAGCAGATATTGCTTCAAGTGAGTTATAGCAAGGGAAGTTAAAATTCATCGCTTGCTCAATGTTAACCAAACGGTATGTTGCTGAGCCAGGGTCAGAACGCAGATCAATATGCCGAAGACTACATTCCTGACAACTACATTTCTGTGCATATGCCTACAGTTTTCTTGTTATACTCGCTGTTAATCCTCAATTATGTGGATGATCAAGAACCTGCAGGGTAGTGGGGACAGGAGACAAAGAAAACATCCTTTTCAATTCAGAAAATCTGGATCTCCTTTGTCTGGCAAAGCCCAGTGTCTCAGGCAAGACTACTTCCCTTCAGGCCCTCTGTAGTAACAGTGCAGCAGAAGCAGTGTCTGCCCTCCTCTAACTTCACAAGGGGAATGAGAATCGAACAACAGCCCAAGGCTGATTCTTATGAGGTGGAGGTCAGCCATGCCTCCTCTCTACCATCTTTACCAATTCTGGTACCAACTGTCCCTCCCAGGGCACTCTCTGCTTCTTTTCTGAGTTCAGTAATTCACTGAAATGGCCACATGGTACCCACAGATGATACTCATGATTATGGGGTTTACTAGGGAAGTAACTGGTTACTATTCAGGCTCAGGAAGGCTCAGGATACAGTTCTTCCATCATGACAGTCTCTTCTCAGCTGTGCCTGCCGGCCTACTCCTCTGGCCCCTTGTCCTCTGCCCTGCTGGGCAAGTGTTACAAAGCTCTTTTAGCTCTTCCAGTACATGCCCTGAGCTACCCCAGTTGGCCAGAAAGCCTAGGCTTGAAGGCACTCAGCTCTACTTTCTGGGTCAGCAAACCTAGCTCCACCAAGTGCCCAGAGGCACCCTACTCGGCCTGGAAGCCTCCTGCCCGGAGGCACTCAGCTTTCTCGCTCTGTGGGCTGGGAAGCCCACCATGCCAACTCTAGTCTCCTGCCAGTCCCCTGGTTCTGCTGCCTCTGCTGTTGGCATTCCTCTGCTGTTGCTTCTCACTATCTTTGGTGTTACTGTCTCCTGAGTCTAGGAGGGTGTCAGCACAGGGATCCCAAGTCCAAAGGACATGCTCCACTCCTGCTTCTACTTCTTTGGTAGTGATGAGAAAGTCTCTTCGCACCTCTGGTATGGCTCATTTTAAGCCGAGCAGAATGGCAAAGCTGACCAATCCCCTCATTAGGATTCCATGTACCTTATTAGCGTGGTCCTACATATAGCTCTGTCGTTTCTTAAAACCATTTAGGTAACATTGACACAACCTATTTCACACGGGCAAAGCAGATACAGCACTGACCAAACTATCCAAAAACATGGATCATAACTTTTTTGAGTGTAAGGAGTAAATAAAATTTAATGTCAAGTTCTCTGAGTGGCACAAATAGTAAGCGTATGACTGCTAGTCAAAATGCTGGTAGTTCAAAGCCACCCAGAGGTTCCTCAGAAGGCGGGACTGGCAATCTACTCTGACAGATCAGAGGCTTGAAAATCCTATAAAGCTCTGCACACATGGGGTGGCTATGAGTCAGAATTGACTTCACAGCAACTATTACGGATGGAACTGTCTCCAAAAAATATGTCAACCTGGCTACGCCACGATTCCTAGTATTGTGTGGCTGTTCTCCATTTTGTGATCTGATGTAATTACCTATATGTTATAAATCCTAATCTCTTAAAATATTAATGTTACAAATAGAAGCACTTATTTTAATGAAGCAGGAGAAAATCTACAGAAATTGTTTCTTGAGTCAATCTCATTTGAAATATAAAAGAGAGAAGCAAGCAGAGAGATGGGAGGACCTCCTGCCACCAAGCAAGAAGAGCCAGGAGTGAAGCAGGTCCTTTGGACCTGGGGTCCCTGCACTGAGAAGCTCCTAGACCAGGGGAAGACTGATGACAAGGACCTTCCGCCAGAGTCCACAGAGACAGAAAGTCTTCCCCTGGAGCTTGTGCCCTCTATTCAGACTTCTAGCCTCCTAAACTGTGAAAGAATAAATTTCTGTTTGTTAAAGCCACCCACTTCTATTTCTGTTATATCAACACTAAATAACTAAAAGAGCAACTAACAACAATATAATGTTGTGTGGTGGTAAGTTCTATGAAAAATGCAGCACGGTCAGGAGATAAGCAATAATAGAAGCACATTTATCTTTAGTAAGAGCAGGGAAAAGCAAAACAATCACTTTAGGAAACACAACCTAGTGCAACCTGGCTTGGTAAAGAAAAATAAATACATTTTTAATTCTAAAAACTTGGAAGCCCTCTGTGATGATTTTGCAAATACTCATATATATTTCAGATGTTCAGCGACTTTAACAACTTCCCGTGTAGGACTATAGCAGTGAAAGAGTGCCACTGACCTTCACAGGTTGGAAAGGGAAGATACACTGGTTATTCACAAAACGAAAATGTCATTAGCAAAAGGTAAACCGGGCCACTGGAAGAATAAAAGCAGCATGAATAAATACTACGAAAAAAGTAAAAGAAAACAGACAATAGTAATGATACAAAACACAAATGGAGACTTTCAGATTTTGGTTTGATAAGGGCTCGGAAGTCATCACTCCCATCCTCAAGAAAAAAGAGGAACATATGAAACCAAGAGTTTGAGATCAAAGGAAAAGGACTGCCCCCAAAACTGGAGGAACATATAGTTAGAGAAAATCATTTCAGAGCACAAGCCAAGGAGCAGAATGCCTATGTGTCCTTCCAGTTTTGGGGGCAGTCATTTGCCCTGAGACCTCAATAGCCTAAATAACTGAATTCATTGAAAACAATGATCAGACCTAAGACTTGAAAAACATGAAGGAATTACCAAAGGGTCAGCTGAGAATAGACTGTTCCAGGAGGAGGAAATGCCAGAGCACAGGCCAGCAGGTGGGAGTGTGCCTGGTATGTTTTAGGGAGATGCAAATCCCAGCATGCCCACAGCAGGGTAAGATGCTGGGGAGAAACAGTAGAGGAATTTGGAGACGTGACGACCCAATGAGCATATCATGTTCTGGGGAAAGTGCTGGCTTCTGAAAAGACTGGCTTCTCATCTGAGTGAAATGCAGAGCAATTTTATACCTTTGATCAGAGAAAAAATGATGCCATGGATCTTAAAGAACTCCTTTGTGGGGGCAAATGTAAAAGTTGGGAGCCATGTTAGAGGGTTTGGGTCATAATCAGATAACAACTGATGAAAATGGGCACACACAAAAACTGTACAGCAAAGCACATACGTGCAGAAAACATCAACACTTTTCCAGTAAAAGCAGGTAAAAACCGAGGACACCCATTATTCCATTGCTATTCAGTGCTACTGTAGAGGTTGTAGCCAATACATACAAAAGAAGAAAAAGAAAAAAGTAAATAAGAATGTTAAAAAAAAAAAACACCCAAATCTGTATTTTCAGGTTAAATGATTGTATATGTAGAACTCCCAAAGATGG